GCCTCCACAAACCCCTCAGGGGCACGCAGTAACCCCCGAAGGAGGCCCCATGAAGCCTAGCAGAACAACAGCCAGGAAAGAACCCAAGAATGGACACATCTAGCAAGGGCACATCGTCCAATGCATACGCTCGCACCCGCAGGCCCATGTCAGACTCAGTCCGTAACCCTGCGTTGTCTTACTAGTTCAAGGCGTAGGCGTTCAACAACTATCAAAACTGAGGTTGTGGTATCACGACTATGCCAAAGCATTGCGCCCGCGCGCCCGCTGCAATCATAAGACAATATGAACGACCCACGAACCTGGAAAGGGATATAGAACTGTGAAACTTGGCAACGTTTTCAAGACACCTGCTTGGGCGACGGGCAATTGCAATGCTGAATGTATCGATCTTGATGTACCGTGACAACGGCTGTGATGTGCTGTGCCGTGCTGAACTGCGATGTGCCATGCCGCGATTGTGCTCTATAGCGTTATGGGTCGACTCCCCTTTGGCATTCGAGTCCTGACCGAACTGACCTGGATGGTAAGCTCGAGCTGTCTGAGCACATAGTAGCTGTCCCAGGGCTAGTTTAAGTGGAAACGCGGAGGGCGGTGAATCCACTCGAACTCAAACTCCAACTCAGCTCCGACAAGGACCGAGACGGCACTGGGTACAGGCTCACGGACGCGCCACAGGATGTGCCGGGCGCGCAGTAAGGGATGCGCCAGGGGACGCGGCAGGGGACGCATCAGGGGACGTGCCCTGGACGTGCCTGCCACGGGACGCTCCAAAGCGCGGGCGCCCAAAGGACGTCATGCCAAGGGACGTTGCAAGGGGCCCGCCACGGAACGGGCATGGGTGACGCCCGGGGACGAGTGAGGAAACGCGAGAAAGGACGAGCCAGGGATCGTGTCACGCCGAGTAGCGTGCTTGGGGACGTGCCAGGGCACGTCACGCCAGCACGTCGTCAGGGACGCACTGGCGCGCCAGGGCGCAAGGGGACACCCCAGGGACGGGCGGGGTTGGACTGCGACGCACTCTACTGCGACAAGCGTTTCGCTCGAGACATCCTCGGCAAATTGTCATGTTAGGCATTCGCCTGGGCGATCTGGATACGTGAAACCAAGCGTCTCGCTCGAGACGTTCTCAACGCCTCCTCATGCTAGGCATCTGCCTGAGCAACCTGGACACGTGAAAACAAGCGCTTCGCTCGAGACATCCTGCCCAAATCCTCATGCTAGACATCCGCCTGGGCGACCTGGACACGTGAAAACAAGCGCTTCGCTCAACACATCCCCAACACATCCTCCTCATGCTAGACATCCGCCTGGGCGACCTGGACACGCAACAGCAAGCGTCTCTCGAGGCATCCTCAACAAATCCTCATGTTAGACAGATGCCTGGGCGACCTGGACACGCGAAAACAAGCGTCTAGCTCGAGACATCCTCAATACATCCTGATGCGAGACATCTGCCTGGGCAACCTGGAGGCGTGAGAACAAGCGTCTCGCTCGAGACATCCTCAAGACCTGGAAAGTGAAAACAAGCATTTCACCTGAGACATCCTCTGAGTTCTGGTCCCCAGGAGAGGAAATATCTATAACACAAAACAAACGTTTCACTCGAGATATCCTCACCATCTCATGCTAGACAAGCGTTTCGCTCGAGACATCCGCAACAAACGAAGATGCTTACTTTACCCTGTCTTGTATCGATCGGGACAAGCGTTTCGCGAGGGACATCCTCAACTGTTTAATTCGCCTGCCCTACGCGACCTCGTTATTTATCGCAAATTTAGATAGCCGGCCCTACGCAAATCGAGGCCGGGGGGGACCATCTGAAAAAGAACCCTGGGCTTGAGCCCATTCTGGGAAGAACAATTCTGGTACAGGCTATCACGTGAGGCCATGCGGGACACGCACCCGCGTGCAAGTCGACCACATTTAACAAGCACCGCGCACCTGCCAACTCTGTCGACCAATGCCATGCGGCCCACATGAGCGCATCTCCGCACGCGCACACCAAAACGCGTTCACAGCACATGGATTTCGAAGAACTTCACGGCCGAGCCCATCAATCAACCTACGAGCACCCAAGTGTTTTCCGTTCCAAAGCACGCCAAGAATTCTGAAATTCATGCGCGCGCACTTCCTCTTCATCCTCACCAACGCCATGATTGTTCGCCACCGTACCTCTGGGCACGGAGTGGGCGTGTCCTCAGGTCATTTGCCTAAAGGGGCCCGGACCCCCAATTCTCAAATCTACTTGTCGCATGACTGTTTCGGGTCCAAGACGACCCCAAGACGGGCCAAGAGGGCCCCACGAGGTCTCCAAGACGGTCCAAGAGGGCCCCGTTAAGCCCAGTGATCGGCCCAAGATGGCCCCAACACGGCCCAAGAGGCCTCCAAGACGACCCCAGAGGTCTCCAAGAGGCTTCCCAAGAAGGTCCCAAGAGGCCAAAATCATTGATTGCCCTTGGGTTTTTTGAAAGATTTGGCCGTTCTCGCCTTTTCGGCTTGGCTTTCCCACGCTTCAAGACGGCCCAAGAGGCCTCCAAAACCACCCCAAAACGGCCAAAGAGGCTTCCAAGAGGGCCCAAAGCCGGCCTAAGAGCGCCCCAAGAGACGTCCCAAACAGGCCCCAAAACGGCCCTAAAAGGTGCCAAAGAGAGGGAACACACATCGAAAATCCGAGCCCGCCTCCACAAGGAGCCCTCAGGAGGCCCCAAGAGGCGCCCAGGATGCCCCAAGAGGCTCCCAAGAGGCCCCCAAGATACCCTAAGAGACCCCCAAGAGGCCCCCCAAAAGGCCCCAAGAGGCCCCCTACACGGCCCCCAAGCGGCCTCCAAACTGCCCCCCCAGGTAAGGTGCCGGGATGAAATGAAGGCCACTAGAGAATAATCGGCATCGTCATCACGGCCAACGTCATCATCACACTGATCAGCATCTACTCTGTTGTCGTCATCATCAACACCGTCACCATCGCCATCGTCGATACTGTCGGCCTCATCGTTCTCGCAAAGCCTATCCCTCTAATCATCATCATCGTCGCCGATGCCGTGGTCACCATCACCACTCTCCCGCCCCGGTAATGGATCTACACGACCAGGCTTCGGGCGTCAGACCGCCCCTTGAGATTCGAGAGCCAATCCCGCTGAGTGACTGCATTCACAGCGTTCATGAGTCGTGCCAAGAAGTTGCGGGTGAGTGGGTGGGTTCGATGTTTCCTCGGTCATGGGAGGTTGTCACGCGCGGATGCTCAGAATGAATCACATCATTGGGATTGCACCACATATATTGCAGCTCAACGGCTACTGACCGCGTGCCGCGTGCTAGAATTACTATTCACGGTCGTTCATCCTACATAAAAAAGGGACGCCACGTCATCCCCACCAACTTGGTATCGACCGGCCCGTAACTCCTGTCAAAGAGAAGACCAATGCTGACGAACGAACAACCCACACCCATACCCATATGGGTGTGGAACGGACGGGGCTATGGGTGCGTGTTGTCGGACGGGAGTCCCCCCTCGAATGGAAGCCTCCCCAGGGGTCCGACACCCCGCGCCCATACCCATAGCCAGTCCTCCTCCCTCCGACCTCCCTGTGTGTATGGCTGTGTGTGGTGTTCGTTCGTCAGATACGGTTCGCACGAACGCTGGTCTAACGAGCGCTTCTGTGAGAACCCAAATGCACGACACCATGCGGGGTATACGCCCGTGCGCCCGCCGCAGAGAGCGTGCCGAATTAATACTGGCACCACTGGTGGCTTGAGCCCTTCACAACAGTGTGGAGTACGCAATCGTTTTATTCAAAAGAAGGAGTGTCGGACTTTCTGCGCGCGCACTTGATTGACCAAGAACATATGAATCTCAATAGGTGCCCTGTGGTCCCTGCCAAATGTGACCACACGCAAAACACGCGTGCACCCCCGCGCACGCACGTGGACACCATTCAAAACCGTCGCGCGCAGCCTAAAATCAGAAGTTACATTTCCCCCAACAGCAAAACCAAAGCACACCATGCGGGTCATACTTTCGCGCCTCCACGCACATAGCGACATGTTGAAGAGATAGACGTCGCAATTCTTCAAACTGAGAGCTGCTGGCGTGTTCAAACACAGCCATTCAGAAAACATGGAAACCATGGAAAAGGCCCTTCATGTCGTTTCGCCTTTGGGATGTACAGGCAAGTTCCCACAGGCATCTTCACTGACAGCATCTTCAGTCTTGCCGACTGGTTGCGAATGGCTGAATGGGATATCTGCACGCTCCTTGCGTATTGATCGTCAAGTTAGTTGCACCACATGAATTGCATCACACGGCTTGCAACCCACATGCGAAAACACATAGATGGAACCACGCAGTGTACACCAAATTTACTACACATGAGAAGCACACACGCGCACAAGCACAAACACACACTGTTGCCGATGCTGAACGTCTCCGGCTACTGATGAGACTACCTCCGAAATCACACACAACACATACACACACACACACGCACGACTACTCACTCATACACGCAAGCACATCGGCCTTGCACTGCATCAACATCGCATGGCTAGACGACACGCAGGTACGCGTGCATGAGCAGAGTGGCGTGAAGCGGGCCATGCGACATGCGGCGTCAACTCACGGACGCGCGCAAGTATCAGCACGCACGCGCGCGACGCCGCTTCTGGTCGACAGTGGCCAACGCTGTTGCTGCTGGAACTGTAATTGAATACGTATCGTGTGTCGTTCGCTTCGGTTCCCGCTGGCGGGGCTGGCCGCGCCAGCGCAGGTGACAATTTCGCCTCTGAGTGGCCTCCTCGCGGCCGACGAAAAATTTGTTGTTCGCTTCCTCCTTCTTGGGCTGCAAGAACGGCCCTGACAAACTGGCCCTGCACATGACAACACTGTCGCTGGAACCGCGAATGCCGTGTCGAAGCCAACAAACCCTGGCGCAAAAAGCATCCAGAAAAGCGCAGTCGCCACACATTGCAGAGAGAGCATCGCGCGCAGAAATCTCCCGCGCCTGGAACCCCCGGTGCTGCATGTACTCGGCGGCGTTCACGGCCGACAAGAAATGGGCACAGCCGGGGAAGGGTTAGCGCTGAAGGGGCTTAGGGGCGCACCAGCGAGTGGACACGAATCCCAGGGTTCCGCATATATTGAACAACTTCTAGATGTGGTTGATGTTCATACACGTAATTGTACACTCATAGATATGTTATATATATATTCCTCTTCCTATATTTTTATAAGCCCGGGCGGGGGGAACACCCGTCCCCCCCCACAAAAAAAAAACGGACTCCCGGGATCTGGGGCTTTGGGGCCCTTCGGACGGGCCTCGAAGCGGCACCCCGGGCCTCGCAGGGCGTTTTGCCAAGCCTTCGCAGCACTCCTAGGGCGATCAGGGGGGTCATCGGAGACGTCCTGGAGAACCCGAGGACAGCACAAGAGCGCTTCAAGAAGCCGTCATACCCCGAAAGATCGCTCCAAAACGTACCAAGAGGCCTCCAAGAGCACCCCCAAGAAAGCCCCAAGAGGGACAAATAATTGATTTAATGTAGATTTTTGGTGAATTTGGGGTTGTCATCTTTTCGGCTTCCCGACGCTCCAAGACAGCGGTCTTCTGGGCGTCCGAAGTCGCCTGGAAGGCTCCAACACCGCCCCACAGCCATCCGAAAGGGCTTCAAGGTAGCCCAAGAGAGCCCCAAAACGGCGCACCAGGGGTCCAAAATGGCCCTAAGAGAGCCCCATGGCGGCCCAAGATGGCCCCAAGACACCCTCCGAAGCATTTCAAATCGTGACCGGGGCGTTCAAGGAGACGGCGGTTAAATGCATGTTGCCCTTGGGAAGCCCCAGAGGCCCCCAGAACACGCCCAGGAGGCCTCCAGAAGGCTTCTAGGAAAGCTTGAGAACTTTGGTGAGGCCCCCAAAGGCTCTCCAAGGAGGACCCTCCGCAAAAAGAGCTGAGGAGGATGGGGAGAATGCCCAGGGTATGGCGAGAATGAGGAAAAATGAGCATGGAGCCAGGATAACGAACAACATTATCATCATGGCGATGCCAGAGAAGGCAGCAAGGAGTTATCGTTAAAGTGTCCGCTTGACCTTCCTGCCTTTTCCACCTGCGTAGCAATCTTCAAGGACCAAGGTGCATGGCGCGAAGCGCCACTGCAGTCTTGTGTATATATATATATATATATATATATATTCCTGTCGGACGTGCACCTCCAACATCAGTACATGGATTTCGTATGTCCTTCTGAGCCCTATCGAGGGCCGAATGCTTTTGGACAGTATTCCTATCATGACATCCGTTTCGTCCCAAGGAGGACCCGCCGACCCGCTGCGGCGCCAGGCCGCTGCCCCCGGCCGGCCCGCGGGCGGGCCGGCTGACCCCCGTGGGCGCTGGCGGGCCCCAGGCCTCGACGATTATTTGTGTCTGCGTGGTTCCTTCTCCCTGGGAGCACGACAGCGTCGGGAGCGAGGCGCGCAGCACGGGCCCGGGCGATCCGGCAGCGGCCTTGGTTCCTGGGCGGCACGCCCTCCGAGTCCCCCCACCCACCCGCCATCTGCACTCCTTCGCCGCGGGAATGATGGTGATGATGATGATGGTGATGATGATGATGGTGGTGATGATGATGATGTTGATGATGATTATGATGGTGATGATGCTGATGATGATGTTGATGATGATGATGACGATGGTGATGGTGGTGATGACGATGGGGATGATGATGATGATGATGGTGATGATGCTGATGAAGATGTTGATGATGATAATGATGACGATGGGGATGATGATGATGATAATGATGATGACGGTGATGATGCTGATGAAGATGTTGATGATGATGACGATGGTGATGGTGATGGTGGTGATGCTGATGACGGTGTTGATGATGATAATGACGATGGTGATGATGATGATGATGGTGATGATGCTAATGATGATGTTGATGGTGATGATAATGATGACGATGGTGATGATGATGGTGATGATGCTGATGATGATGATGACGGTGGTGATGATGATGGTGATGGTGATGGTGATGATGGTGGTGATGCTGATGATGATGATGACGATGGTGATGATGATGATGGTGATGATGCTGATGATGCGATGGATGATGATGATGATGATGATGACGATGGGGATGATGATGGTGATGGTGATAATGCTGATGACGATGTTGATGATGATGACGATGGTGAGGATGATGATGACGATGGTGATGATGATGATGGTGATGGTGATGATGGTGATGATGATGACGATGATGATGTCGATTGTGATAATGATGACGATGGTGATGATGATGATGACGGTGATGATGCTGATGACGATGTTGATGATGAGGATGATGATGACGATGGTGATGATGATGATGGTGATGGTGCTGTTGGTGATGATGATGACGATGTGAAGACGATGATGATGGTCATGATGCTGATGATGATGTTGATGATGGTGATGACGATGGTGATGATGATGATGGTAATGATGCTGATGATGACGTTGATGATGATGATCATGACGATGGAAATGATGATGATGGTTGTGATGATGTTGATGGTGATGTTGATGATGATGACGATGGTGATGATGTTGATAATCATGCTGATGATGATGATGACGAGGGTGATGATGATGGTGATGCTGGTGATGATGATGTTTACGCTGATGATGATGATGATGACGATGGTGATGGTGATGATGGTGTTGGTGCTGATGATGATGGTGATGATGATGTTGGTGATGATGATGATGACAATGCTGATGATGATGGTGATGATGCTGATGAGGATGTTGATGATGATGGCGATGGTGATCATGATGATGACGATGGTGATGATGATGTTGGTGGTGATGATGATGGCGATGCCGATGGTGATGACGATGGTGATGATGCTGATGATGATGTTGATGATGATGATGACGATGTTGATGATAATGAGACTGATGGTGATGATGCTGATGACGATGGTGATGATGATGACGATGGTGATGATGCTGATGATGATGTTGATGATGGTGATGACGATGGTGATGATGATGATGGCAATGATGCTGATGATGATGTTATGATGATGATGACAATGTAAATGATGATGATTGTGATGATGCTGATGGTGATGTTGATGATGATGATGATGGTGATGATGATGGTGATGATGCTGATGATGATGTTGATGATGACGATGGGGATCAAGATGATGATGGTGATGATGCTGATGATGATGATGATGACGATGGTGATGATGATGATGACGATGGTGATGATGATGATGATGGTGATGATGATGACGATGGTGATGATGATGGTGATGATGCTGCTGATGCTGATGATGTTGATGATGCTGACGATGGTGATGAGGATGATGATAGTGATGATGCTGATGATGATGTTGATGATGGTGACGATGATGATGACGATGGTGACGATGATGATGACGATAGCGATGGTGATGATGATGGTATTAATGATGATGACGATGGTGCTGATGATGATGGTGATGGTGTTGATGATGATGTTGATGATGATTATGACGATGGTGATGGTGATGATGATGGTGATGGTGCTGATGATGGTGATGACGATGGTGATGATGCTGATGAAGGACATGTTGTTGATGATGTTAAAGATGACGATGACGATGGTGATGATGATGATGCTGGTGATGATGTTGATGATGATGATGACGATGGTGATGATGATGATGTTGATGATGATGATGACGATGGTGATGATGCTGATGATGATGTTAATGATGATGAAGATGATGACGATGGTGATGATGATGATGCTGATGATGGTGATGATGATGACGATGGTGATGATGATGATAATGGTGATGATGCTGATGATGATGTTGATCATGGCGATGGTGATGATGATGGTGATGGTGCTGATGATGAGGATGATGATGATGATGGCGTTGATGATGATGATGATGACGATGGAAATGATGATGATGGTGATGATGCTGATGATGATGTTGATGCTGATTATGACGATGGTGATTGATGATGATGATGGTGATGGTGCTGATGATGGTGATGACGATGGTGATGATGCTGATGAAGGACATGTTGTTGATGATGTTGATGATGATGGTGATGATGCTGATGATGATGTTGCTGATTGGCGATGGTGATGATGATGATGGTGATGATGCTAATGATGATGTTGATGACGATGATAATGATGACGATGGTGATGATGATGATGATGATGGTGATGATGCTGATGATGATGATAATGACGATGGTGACGATGATGATGGTGATGGTGATGGTGGTGATGGTGATGAAGATGATGACGATGGTGATGATGATGATGGTGATGATGCTGATGATGATGTTGATGATGATGATGATGATGACGATGGGGATAATGATGATGAGGGTGATGATGCTGATGATGATGTTGATGATGATGATGACGACGGTGATGATGACGATGATGACGATGGTGATGATGATGATGATGGTGATGATGATGAGGCTGATGATGATGATGACGATGATGGTGTCGATGATGATAATGGTGACGATGGTGATGATGATGATGTTGACGGTAATGATGATGACGATGTTGATGATGATGATAATAATGCCGATGGTGATGATGCTGATGGTGATGATTCTGTTGATGAGGATGATGACAATGGCGATGATGATGACGGTGATGATGCTGATGATGATGTTGATGATGGTGATGACAATGGTGATGATGATGATGGTAATGATGCTGATGATGATGTTGATGATGATGATGACGGTGGAAATGATGGTGATGATGATTGCGATGATGCTGATGGTGATGTTGATGATGATGACGATGGTGATGATGATGGTGATGATGCTGATGATGAAGTTGATGATGATGGTGATGATGACGATGGTGATGATGATGATGATGGTGGTGATGATGATGATGTTGATGATGATGACGATGGTGATGGTGATGATGATTATGGTGATGATGATGATGATGTTGATGATGATGTTGGTGATGATGATGGTGATGACAATGCTGATGGTGA